CAGAGTGTGAAGCAGAATCATCTTCTCTGACCAAAGGTTCACTTCCCCAGAGCCTGTTATCCCGGTGACTTTGGCCTCAGCGAAGCTCAAGGGAAGGGGGGGGGGGACATTGTGGGGTGTGGTCAGCAATGCACTGATCTGTCTTCATCTTCCTCCAGTGCCAAGTGCTTGCCAGACAATCACTCCACGCCTGGGCTCTGCTCAGCTCTTTGGGGGAGACCAGCGTGAGCAGGAGGTGGCCAGCTCACGCCAGAGCCCCAGGGCCAGCCGAGTTGGCCAAAATCTCGAAGTAGATGCCTAGGTTAGAGGACTCCCCAGAGACAGTGGGGAGGCACATCCAAGGGAAGGCATGTGTTCCACTCCCAGGCCTGTGTGTGCAAAGGTGTGGGTGTATGTGGGATTCCGAGTACAGAAGCTCCACATGGACTAGATCGAGGGCTTGCCAATGCGTAGAGAGGATGGGCAGAGCTTTCTGAAGGGTCCTTTCCCCATGGCTTAATGATAGCGTGAGGTTGTGTGGGGGTGCGGGGCAGTGCTATGAGATTCCTGGCTGTTCCACTGAGCAGATGTGTGGACACACCTGGGCAGGGCACCTTTCGAGATCTTCCAGGTCACATTGGGAGGTAAGATACTGAGAAGTCATCAGCTTGGGAGCCTGTGGGACCACATCTTGCTGCACCCTCATTTTCCATGTGGGTAGAGGAGTTGAGGGACCCTCGCATTGAGCCATGCCTGCTCCTCTCTGCCCCCCTGAACTGCCTTTTCGCAGATCCCACCCCCAGTGCCCTGCAGCCCGCGTGTCCAGCATCAAGAGCCCGTGAGCAGGTCCTTGGGAGCCACATGGTACTTCTTCTGCTAATATTGTCCTCTCTGCTTTTCAGGAATAAAGTTCAGCATCAGGCCACAGCAGCCCTACAACGTGAGTTCTGAGAGTCGGATAAATCTCAGCACCGGCAGCCTGGGGAAGGTTGGGGAGGGCAGGGGAGAACACTGGGAGCTCTTGTTGAATTCATTCTTGGAAAGAAAAATGTGTCCGGTCCTTCCCAGGGGCCTTGGGAACAAAGCCCACAGCTTTGGCCCCATGAATTTCCCTTTCCTGTCGGATGGCAGCTTTGGACTTGTGCTAATAGAGGCAGTAAATTTGCGCCAGCCTCCTCAGGCCGCCGGCTCCCGCCGGCTCGCCTCGCCGGGTGCAGGTTCCTGGGAGGCCTGCGCCATCTCGTGGCTGAAAAGATACCTGCACCTCTGCCTCAAGACCATGGCCAGCTAGGGGTGGGGGGCCTTTGGGGACCGGACCTAGGCTCAGACCAGAGGGGTCAAATCCCACAGGGTCAGCTAGTCTCTTCCTTCACCCGGAATAAACTCAGGCCACAGAGGGGGCAGGGACCCCGGCCACTGTGAGCGTCTGACCTGTGTGACCCGCAGCGCCCAGCTGCCGTGTCCATCCTGATAACTATTTCTCTTCTTGACTCAGGATCTCCCACCAGGCAGTTCCCGGGATGGTGACTTGAAGGCCCCTACGGAGAAGGTCACCCGAGACTTGTCCAGCCGGGCCCCAAGGGGCCTCAACCTGCTGGTACCCGACCGGCCTCGAGCCCCCCGAAACATGGGGGCCCGTCTGCGACCCCGGCAGCGCCGCCGGCGGCTGCTCATCAAGAAGACGCCCGCTGCTGCAGCAGCCATCCCGGCCAACGGCTCGGCCGGTGCCTTTGTGCGGCCGGCGCCCTGGGCCGCGGCCGGCCACTGGGTCACCCTGCAGCGGAGCCAGCAGGAGCGCAAGCGGGTGATGCGCGAGGCGTGCGCCAAGTACCGGGCGAGCAGCAGCCGCAGGGCGGTCACGCCCCGGCACGTGTCCCGCCTCTTCGTGGAGGACCGCCACCGGGTGCTGTACTGCGAGGTGCCCAAGGCGGGCTGCTCCAACTGGAAGCGGGTGCTCATGGTGATGGCCGGGCTGGCCTCGTCCACCGCGGACATCCAGCACAACACCGTGCACTACGGCGGCGCCCTCCGGCGGCTGGACACCTTCGACCGCCAGGGCATCCTGCACCGCCTCAGCACCTACACCAAGATGCTCTTTGTCCGCGAGCCCTTCGAGAGGCTGGTCTCCGCCTTCCGCGACAAGTTCGAGCACCCCAATAGCTACTACCACCCTGTCTTCGGCAAGGCCATCCTGGCCCGGTACCGGGCCAACGCCTCTCGCGAGGCGCTGCGGACGGGCTCCGGCGTGCGCTTCCCCGAGTTCGTCCAGTACCTGCTGGACGTGCACCGGCCCGTGGGCATGGACATCCACTGGGACCACGTCAGCCGGCTCTGCAGCCCCTGCCTCATCGACTATGACTTCGTGGGCAAGTTTGAGAGCATGGAGGAGGATGCCAACTTCTTCCTGAGCCTCATCCGGGCGCCGCGGAACCTGACCTTCCCCCAGTTCAAAGACCGGCACTCGCAGGAGGCCCGGACCACGGCCCAGATCACCCACCAGTACTTCACCCAGCTCTCGGCCCTGCAGAGACAGCGCACCTACGACTTCTACTACATGGACTACCTGATGTTCAACTACTCCAAGCCCTTTGCAGACCTGTACTGATGGGCGGGGCCCGCGGCCACTCACCTGTCCGCGCGGGCATCCCACTCTCCGTGGTCCCTCACCCGAGAGCTGACACGTACCCGGAGCAACAGGGCTCTGCGGATGTGAGGAGCCGTGGCTGCTCCGTGCCGCTGGCCCGAGGTGGAGGACAGAGGCCCGGGCCTCGGGTGGGGACTCTGGCCCTTGTTCCATACCCACTTTCTCACTCCTCGGCTGAGGAAGATGCCCGGGGCTGAGCAGGACCCCAGCAGTCCTAGCTGCATAGGCCTAGCTCGGCCAAGAGTCAGGATGACCAGGGAATTCTGAGGCCCTAAGGATGAGGGCCCCAGCGGTAAGGGATTTCCTGCAGTCCCTTAGCCATTGCCTTGTACCAAACCACGTGGTTTGCAGCTTTTCTATGACCCAGGGGGGAGGTTCCCTCAGAATGAGGTTCCAAATAAAGCACATGGTTTCCAGAGTAGCGGTGTCTACACTTTGTGTTGGTATGGGAACACACGGACCCTTCCCCAAGCTGTGGGGGCTCTGTCTCCCTCCCCAGGACCGCCTGAGCCGGGCACCCGCAAGCCCCGCCCAGGGGAGCCCAGGGTGGGAGTGGCCTGTGCGAGAGGGGAGCTCTCGTTCACCTCCCACTCAGGCTCCTGAGGCCAAGACAGGGTTCTCTGTTGTCAGTACCAGCACATTCATCCTGAAAGGAGAAAATAGACCTATCCCTGTGGAGGCCCACTGGGGTCCCTTCTCGTCACTTTGTGGGGGCCCCCTGAGGACGGCCAGAGCTCTCTGGGCAAACCACTGGGGTCAGCGGGGCGCTGCACAGGGGTCTCAGGGGGTGAGGCATTTCCGGTGGGGATCGATGCTATCCCTCTCCCTAAGCAGGGCTTTATCTCTGTCATCTGCAGACCCTCATGACCTTGGCCTTGGCCCCTGGCTCCATTCACCTGACCAGGCCACCTTAGAGATTTCAGGACTGCCCACCCCTAGGGGACCACATTCTGGGGGAGGAGCAGAAGCCCCCGGGGGAGGGGGAGACGTCTCCCAAAGTATATATTTTCATACACAGAAGTGGCTCTGAGATGGTCAAAAGCCAGGGTGATTCTTGAAAGGTCTCAAAGTGTGTTTGTTGGAGCTTTGAGTGCGGCCGTGGCCGTTCCTGTTGGGGGTCTCGTCTGTAAAGGAAACTGCTGCCTATCTGTAAAGGTCTGTCTGTCTGCTTCCAGGTCCCATCTCTCTGTCAGCCACATGCCCTTCTGACTCTCTCTGTGGGTCTCTTTGCGGATCTCCCCAGGAGAGTGCTCTCAATCGGTTCCCATTTGCTGGGGGAAAGGCTGCTGGGGCCCAGGAGGAGGGGACATGCTGGTGCCTGCTGCTCCCTCCTTTGTGCCTCCACCATGGGCTCTGGAAACTTAAGTAGGACAAGGAACTGAGGCTGCCTCCCACCGGCTTGGGGTCACATGCCTCCAGGAACCCTGAGCAGGGTGAGCACCCCCTACCAGGTTCCAGCAGGAGGGGCTGGCCATCTGGCGGGAGGAACTCACGGGAGGTGAGAAGGAGGTGAGAAGGAGGCTGTGGTCGGGGCCCGAGGGGCTCTTGGGTATGGAAGTGGGGAGACGGATGGATGCCTAGGGGCTCAGAGAGCCAGAGAGGCTATCCTGTACCTCTGCCAAGGCCAGGTCAGCATGAGAGGAGGCAGGGAAGGAAAAGGGAGATGGAAGTCACCACGCGAAGCTAGTGTCTCTGGTCGTGGACGCATCTGGTGAAGCCTGAGGCAGTGTCACCATGTCATCTGATCAGCAAAGGGAACTTCTGGGAGCCTGAAGGACACTTCACTCATGGCTGCTGCTTGGAGACAATTCGGGTTGTCATGGGACCATCCCCCCATGGTGTGTGTGCGTGAGAGAGAGAGAGAGAGAGAAGAAGGGAGCAATGTGTGTGGGAAATGGGAGCAAGAAAAGACGTCTTGACTCCTGAAGAGTCAGAGACAACCAGGCCTGAGTTGGGCAGATGTACACACACAACATATCCGTCCAAGAGGGCCTTTCCTTCTGGGTGGCGACAAAGAATCCAGCCAATGATCACGATGACCACTTGATGGCCCCCAGCATGACCTCCAACTGTAGGCCAGAGGCCTGAGCCCCAAGACCTCCCCTACCTCCACCGAGGTGGTGCTGAACCTCAACGCCTCCGGCCCCCAACCCCAGACTCAAGCCTCATGTAGCCTGAGGACTTGAGGACAACACATGAATGAGTGTGGGTGTGAGTGTGTGTGGGTGTTTGGGTGGGTGGGCAGTGGGCTAGAGTGCTTCCCCCCTGGGGCCTGTGAGCCGCAGAAACCCTGGAGTCCCCTGGAAGGGGGATGTGATGTCCAGCCAGGGGGCCAGGTGGGAGATTCGGGCACCACTGGCCTCTGCGATGTGGCCAAACCTTCCCCCCTGCCCACATCCCCACAGGCTTGGCTATACACACAGGGGCCCGGGACAGACATGGTCAGGCGTAGATGGAGAGTCTTCCAGCACCCACGTCCCCTCCCAGGCCTTTGCCAACTTCATCCTCTGGGTTGAGCCCATTGGTGGGGCTGGGAGCCCCAGGAGAAACCCAGGACCAGGAGGTGGCCTGCCCTCACTCCCCCAACTCCTCCTCGGCCTTTTTTCTCTGGGGATCACCCATGGCTGATCACGGGGATTTCCTCCCGGTGTCTCCCCACCACCCCAGAACTGGGCACCAGGGGCTGAGGGAGACCATGGGCCCCAGAATGGACCCCGTAATCTCCAGGAGTGGGGGCAGGTGGTGTGGGGCTGAACAGGACTGGAATAATGCTGCCCCCATCTCTGGGGGCCCATGCTGATGGTACAGTGATGCTGAAGAATGAACACACACCCTGGAGTAGACAGACTCACAGAAGCCTCGCCTGGGGAGGGGAGGGGAGAGGATGAAAGGTGTTTGGCTGCTCTGGCTGGAGGGATCCACTGCTCAGGCTTGGGG